CTGTCCAGCACACGCCATGTGCGGAGGCCCATGTCACGAGCCTGGGACAAAGTAGGGAGCAGCCATAGTGTAGATTGTTTCACACCTGTGATGATTACACTGCAGTTTCTGCATTAGTTTAAGCCAGTGTAAGCCAGCCCTGCTGCCCCTCCTTCTGTCCTGGCCTGTTCCTTCCCGCTCCTAACCCTGACCCACGCCCTGATGGAGCTGCCCATCCAGCCACACGGGTGGGCACACCGGTGCAAAAGTGAAGATGACGTCGGGTTACACCTTTCATCAGTCACTAGTGACTTTGGAAGCGGTGACAGCAGCAGACCTCGTTCCCTTGCCCCTGGGGACAGGGAGAAGGAGGGGGACCAGAGGACCTGCCTTCTTCCAGCAAAGCCCAAAGGTGGCAGCCCACCTCTGGGAATCCCTGAGCCTCCTGGATGCGGGAAAAGATCCCAGCTGGTGGGTGACAGGAACATGGCCTGCGATGCCAATAAAGCCTAGCCCACCCCGGCCTCACAGAAGGCGCTGTCATCACCCAGGGGATGGAGGTTGCCCAAGTTTGCCTTTTGGATGGCGTAATTTGGGGTTCCTCCTTTCCCTAGAGGCACCAGTAACGTAGATGCTGAAGGAGAGGGAATGCTGCTCCAGCTCTGCAATTCCCATCTTCTCCCCTTCCTTCCAGCAGCTACCTCGACTCCTGCCAGGGCTGCCGGCAGAAGGCCTGGCACTGGCTGGTGCCCGGGGTGGGTCGGTGTCAGCGGTTATTAACCCCATGCTGGCACCTGCGGAGGGGTCCTGCCCTGCTCCTTCTAAAGACAGCTTCCCCTTCCACCCAAAACACCAGCCTTGAGATATCACTTCCAAGACACCCTCCCCTTGGGAGAGAAGCAAGAAGGAGGGAGGGAGGAAGATCTCTTAAAAGGCCATACAGAAAAAGAAGAAATAAAAGAGACAAAACCTATTGCACGATTCCTGGGCTCAAGCAGCACTGAGTGGCAGCAGACATCAGCAGAAGAGCCAGCCGTTGCTAGGAATAACGATTAACTCCTTCCTGACTCACAACCCCCTCAGACCCACCATCCAGGTCAGGCATCTCCCTGGCAGGGGTGCCTTGGGAAGGCCACTGGACATTTGGGTGAGCAGCTGAGTGGAGCCCCAGAGGCTGGGACCTCACCAGAGAGCAGCAGTCAGGGATGCTTTGGGAGAGGCAGGGGGGACGAGGGCAGGGGTAGCTCACCATGACATAATGTCTCTGCATCTCCGTCTTCTCACTCACCAGCTTCTCACATTCCAGCTTCAGGCTGCAAAGAGGATCCACGGTTTTCATTCACTCACCCACATCTCCTGCCCTGTCCCTCCAGTTCCCACTTTCTGCCCCGTGACCTCAGCGAGCTCGGCACTCCTCCCGACTCCCCCAGCAGACTCATGGGGGTCTCACACACCCACCCCTCATGTTGCCATCCCTGGGGAAGCTGAACCCCTGCGGCTGTGCTGCCCACACGGCCCCTGCTCCCCCCTAGATGGTCCATGGCACCCACCCAGTGCTCTGTTCCCACAGCATCGCTGCCAGCACCTCCACGTCGTCCTATACCCAGCTCAGCTGGAGGAAATAAACCATGAGTGGTCGCCTCCTTGGGACCCCAGTCAAGACCTGGCGCCCCAATTCACAGCTTCATGCTACCCCTCAGCCTACGCCCCTCTCCTGTTCTTCTCCAAGCATTCCTTTCACCAGAACCTTTTTCTCCATCTTCTCTTTCCCCAATTCACTCC